TCTCTCCCTCCTCTCTCTCTTTCCCTCCCTCCCTCTCTACCCCTCCCTCTTTCTCCCACTCTTTCCCTCCTTCTCTCTCTCCCTCCTTCTCCCTCCCTCTTCCTTTCTCCCTTATTCTTTCTCTCCCTCTCTCCCTCTCTTTTTCTCCCCCCCCTCTATCTCTCTCTCTCTCACACACACACACACACACACACACACACAGGGAGTCCAACCTTGGCACCTTTAAGACCTGTGAACTTCAACTCATGCTGGCTAGGGAATTCTGGGAGTTGAAGTCCACGAGTCTTAAAGGTGCCGAGGTTGGACACTTCTGGTCTAATGAATATTGAATATTTAATCAGTTCAGTAAATGAACAAGCCCTAGTCTATATTGTTTGCCCGTGCAGGATGGAGACAAATGACCTATGTGCCTTCTCTTACCTGACCGTTCCTTGGGTTGCCTCTCTTCGCCTCATCTCACTGGGCTTCCTCACATACCAACACATGCAGGAACCCCAGGAAAAAAATGGAGAAAAATGCTAAATGAAACTTAGTACTGATAGTCCTCGAATTACTTTGTTTAGTGACCGATCAAAGTTACAACTTACGACCGGTGTTCACACGGCCGTGGCAGCATCCCCGTGGTCACGTGATCAAAGCTCGGATGCTTGGCAACTGACACGTATTTAGGACAGTTGTGGCAACACGTGATCACGTGATCGCCATTAGTAAACCTTCCCAGCTGGCTTCCGACAAAGCAAAGTCAATGGGGGAAGCCAGGTTCGCTTAATGACCGATTCACTTAATTGCAACGATTCACCCAGCAACCGTCATAAAATGGGGCAAAACTAATTTAAATTAATTTAAATGTGAGACAGTAAATACCAAGGGAAAAAGAGAGGAAATATTTAATGTGCTAGTTGGTGATCTGTAGTAAAGAAATTGGTATGTTATTGAATTATGAACCAACCCAGCCGCCTCGTTGCTTTTCAAATATTTAAATGTAAAACTGGAAAATCAATACAAATTAAAAAAAATAAAATAAAATGGGGCAAAACTCACTTAACCACCGTCTTGCTTCACTGTGGAAATTTGACGATCCCTTGTAGATAGATAGATAACCTTTATTGTCATTTTTTTTCCTGTGGGCACAATGGCACACATTAAAAATGAAATGTAGTTGCTTCCTCTCAAAGTGTACGTATACATAACACATTTAAAACATATTATAGACCTACAGCCTTACACAGAAGTAACATATAAATATTATTCACTGTCCATCTTGAATACACAACGGAAGGAGGAAGCTTGAGAGTTCACAAGGTTAATACTGTATGGAACAAAGCTATGACTGAATCTAGGTGTTCTGCTTCGGATGCCACGGAGCCCCCTCCTCCCGGAAGGGAACAAGGAAAACAGGTTGTGAAGAGGATGTGTCGTGTCCCAGACAATCTTGCGGACCCTGCTCAAGCAACGCTTCTGTGCCATGTCCTGGACTGAAGGGAGTTATCTGCCAATGATCTTTTCTGCTGTCCTCACCACTCTCTGCACCTTCCTGTCTGAAGCAGAGATGCTTCCTAACCAGACTGTGATGCTGTATGACAGGATGCTCTCCATCGTCCCTCTGTAGAAAGTGGTCAGGACAGGGGAAGGAAGATGTGCTTTTCTCATGTGATGCAGAAAATGCAGGCGCTGCTGTGCCCACTTCACCAGTGTCTCCCTGTTGAGCGATCAAGCCAGCCTACTCGTTAGCTGCACACCCAGGAATTTGATGCTGGTAACCCATCTCCACAGGTGAATCATTAATGCACAGAGTAGTAGTAAGTCGAGGACTACCTGAGCAGGCGATCACTGGCAGGATGGACCCAACTCTTGGCCGTGAGTCCAAAGTTCTCAACATCTTTTCCCCAGGATCACACTGATCTGAGGGAGCACTCGTTTACAGTCGGGATGAAGCTGGAAGTGGTGGATCAACGGGAACCAGCCACGATTTGCCCAGCTACTATAACCAAGGTGAGGAAACCAAAACGGAACTGAGAATTAAAATCAGATCTTTTGCAGCCGAGGTGTGTGTGTGTGTGTGTGTGTGTGTGTGTAAATTTTTTATAATCACAAGTGCTTAATATTTTATCAGCAACATATTGTCTGGGTTCTAACATTTAACTTACTAATATATGTTAAATTTCTACCTCATTTTTCTAGCCATTGATAAAACGTGTCCCATGATCTAAAATAAACCGAATCTTCTTTCTCTTTCATTTTCAGTGTCAATCTATCCATTTCTGCACAATCTAAAAAAAATTTTTATTAACTCTTCCTCCATTGGTAAATCTTCATTTTTCCAATTCTGAGCGAATACAATTCTCGCTGCAGTTAATACATGTAAAATTAGATGTATATACTCTTTCTCATAATTTCCTACAATTATGCCTAACAAAAATAGTTCTGGCTTAAATTCTATATGGTTTTTTAAGTCATTTTCTCTAACCATGTGTGTATTCTGAACCAGAATCTTTTGGCTTTGGAGCATGTCCACCAAAGATGGTAATAAGTGCCTGGTTGTTATCTACCTTTCCAACAACTGCTTGATATATTTTTAAACACTTTTGCTAACCTCACCGGTGTTAAATGCCATCTATTAAACATTTTGTATAGATTTTCTTTGTACGCTACTGTTTTTGTTGTTTTAGAATTTCTTTCCCAAAGGCTTTGCCAGTTTTCTAATTCTATGTTATGTCCAAAATACTTTGCCCATGTTATCATTGAGCATAAAACTGTCTCTTGAGTAGCTTGGAAGAACTTCTGGAACTTTTCCTTTCTCGCCCCACCACAATACGGGCGGTCCTCGACTTACGACGATTTGCTTAGTGACCGTTGTTTCTCTATAGGTTTTCAACCACCATTTCATGCAAGTCACTCTTGACGACCTCCGTCCCGAACCACACAACACCACGATGCTTTGCCACGCTGATTCCTTGGGCATCCTGCCGGTGCAGTGGTGCCTTAAAAATGGAGTTCATCTCACCCCTCCCAAAGGTTTGTCTTGTCATCAAAGAATTGGGCTGGATTGGGGGGGGATTGCATTATCAGCGGAACGACTTGCCTCCAGAAGTTGTGGATGCTCCATCACTGGAGGTTTTTAAGAAGAGATTGAACGATCATTTATCCAGAATGGTATAGGGCAGGGTTAGGCAATCTTGGCTCTTTTATGACTTGTGGACTTCAACTCCCAGAATTCCTGAGCCAGCATGGCTCAGCTTGGAAACCTCTCCCTTTCCCCTCAGCATGGCTGGCTCAGGAATTCTGGGAGTTGAAGTCCACGAGTCATAAAAGAGCCAAGGTTGCCTACCCCTGTCCTAAATCCTCCTGTTCTAAGTGGTGAGCCTCCTAGACCAGGGGTAGGCAACCTTGGCTCTTTTA